AGTTACTGTGACACATAAGAGCAATTTTTCACTTGAGGAACAAAACTTGTAAGGCCGAATAATGTAGAATTTTCTAAGTTCAAAAGGCGCCATTATTCTGTCAAAATCCATGTTCAAGTTATGGACCTTAAACAATGACCTCCTATTATGCTCTCTAGTTTGACGTTTCAACCCTTTTTTTCATTTAGACGTTCTGGAGATACCAACTTGCATGCAAAAACTTGACCAAAGTGTGACGCTGATGCCAGGGTGAGTACAAAAGCTCTCCTTATTCTTTGAATAGTCAAGCTCAAAAGTCACTATAGTTAAGCTACAACTCCTTTATGCTTCTGCACTAACTAAGTCACTACTGTAAGTCTTGCTCTTTTTTGCAAAAACTTATGAGCTCATTTGTGTCTCAACATTAAAATAACTTTACTTCTTTTTTTACACTTCATATTTTTCATGAAGGCAAAATTTGAATAATATTTCAACCCCCTGTAATCTCGTACTCAATAATTACACTATGTCATCACTTCAACCTGTAATTATAACGCTAGATTAGGTAAGCGTAAATGAGCACCAATAGCCCTCTGTCAGGACAGTATGTGACAGGGGAACATGACACGTCTGGCTTACAAACTTGACAATTTATGACCATTTCTCATAACAATGATATCAATGCAGAAAATTACATGTTAACCCTGACTTGTCAAAAGATCTGGTCTCTTTGGTCCTTACAAGATCTAACATTGTCAAGGTAGCAAAATGGCAGTGAAAGTGTCGTCTGCCTTAAGATTGGTCCTCTTTCAAAAATATTATACTGTTACCACTTCATTCATAGTTTTGTCTTTTGAAGACTGTAATCAAGTAATTACAAGCATTTTACAATAAGTTCTTTACATTTTTGAATACCATATTAGTCTGATAAATCTTTATATACTTAAAGAACAGACAAAAATTGACAGTTGAAAGAACTTTTTTCTATGAAATAATAAACATTTGAAAATAAATTATTTATTTACAAGTCATGTATATTTCTGTCTATCAGGTGTGACTTTACAGTTCCTTATTTACAAAGGTGATTAAAGTTTTTCAGTCAATATTACTTAATGTTTTAAAATAAAATAAAAACCAAAGGAATAAAAAAAAGAGACATTATTTTGCATACTGATATCTAAAATCAATGAACCAATAAGCACAGTTTATTATTTTTTGTATCTTTGTCATTGTTTCATACAAAAGAAACCTTGAACATTAACAAATCCCATATTCCACTTTTCTCTTCCCATCATCTACCTCTAAAAACTCATTTAAATAATGGGAATGTTAAAAATCACAGTGGTCAAGCTGGCAGTTACAGACAAGGGGGCACCACTTCCTGCATGTTTATTGTCAAATTATCATGTAGCAACTAGACAGTTACCCGGTTAGATACCTGCTAATTTGACAGGTTTGCATGTTTTTACCTGTAATTACCCATCAAAATCATATCATCCCTATCTGGTAAATCACCAACCACTGTCAGGCTAACAACCACTGCCTTAATAACAAACAATGTTCATTAAAACACAATATTTTCAGGTGGTTCATTTTCTTTTAGTTCAAAACATTCAAATCTCAAAGTGAGAAAAAAATGCAATATGAATGGGTCCCAAGAAATTTGTTTGCAGCAGTTTTGCTATCTCTTGACATGATTTACCCAGGAACTTACCTGGTGCTGTATCCAATATCCTTAACTTATGGAAACAATACAAATCTGCAGCTTGACTAGGACCAATACTGTCTTGCACAGTTCTCTATAAACCTTATTTGTGCCTTCTACACATGTAACTATGTAAGGGTTATATACCATGATTATTACTAATATTTGGTGGAACAAAAAAATATAACATTTGAAGAGCTAAAGAAAAAGCATTCTTTGTTTTGTTTGTTTGTTGTTGTATCAAGATAGTATAGGTCATATGGATACTTTCTAGCTTAACTGGTGGAGTGCATTATTTTGGGCACATTAATGGGCACCTGAGTAGAACCACCCATGTTTCGTAAGCTATCTAGATAGTTTCCTCACATGAAAAAGTCCAAAGACCCTATTGGGATTCAAACTCACAGTTGTGAGGAGCATGTGGTTTGAAGTCAACAACCTTAACCACTTGGCCACATATGCCCCAAAAAATCATTAGAAGAGCATTAACTATCAGTTAGTGTGTTACCTAATACACAACAACAGAATTTCTTTCTACAAGGTTTATTTTTCTAGTTACAAAATATTTTGAAATAAGCACACAAATGAAAATGTTTGTTTTGTTCATTTTAAAATTGAATAATGTATAATAAATGAACAGACACCTAAAACATGTTACGAGATGGCTCACATGATAATTCAATAATGTTGTTGTTATGTTGTTTACAGAACGTGGTAAACATCTAATCAAAATGCCTATTAAAACTTAATCACTTCTCATTAGGGAGTTGAACGGGTATTACTAGTAGATAAACATTGGTCATGTAACATCCAGGTGTTTTTTTGCACCTGTAAATAAAGCATTTAAAAGAACTTGAGCAGATATATAAAAACTTTGGTATAGTAGAAACATAATTTCACATTTGATAGGATTCTGTGTTACTGTAGGTTTTATTCTATGTCACTGGTAGGATTCTATCACTGGTAATATTTTAAGACACATGAAGGATTCTTTCTCACTGGTACAGTTCTATCACAGGTAATATTTTAAGACACATGAAGGATTCTTTCTCACTGGTACAGTTCTATCACTGGTAATATTTCAAGACACATGAAGGATTCTTTCTCACTGGGAGGATTCTATCACAGGTAATATTTTAAGACACATGAAGGATTCTTTCTCACTGGTACAGTTCTATCACAGGTAATATTTTAAGACACATGAAGGATTCTATCTCACTGGTATAGTTCTATCACTGGTAATATTTTAAGACACATGAAGGATTCTTTCTTACTGGTACAGTTCTATCACAGGTAATATTTCAAGACACATGGAGGATTCTTTCTCACTGGTACAGTTCTATCACAGATAATATTTTAAGACACATGAAGGATTCTTTCTCACTGGTACAGTTCTATCACAGGTAATATTTTAAGACACATGAAGGATTCTTTCTCACAGGTACAGTTCTATCACAGGTAATATTTTAAGACACATAAAAGGATTCTTTCTCACTGGTACAGTTCTATCACTGGTAATATTTCAAGACACATGAAGGATTCTTTCTCACTGGGAGGATTCTATCACAGGTAATATTTTAAGACACGTGAAGGATTCTTTCTCACTGTTACAGTTCTATCACAGGTAATATTTTAAGACACATGGAGGATTCTTTCTCACTGTTACAGTTCTATCACAGGTAATATTTTAAGACACATGAAGGATTCTTTCTCACTGGTACAGTTCTATCACAGGTAATATTTTAAGACACATGAAGGATTCTATCTCACTGGTATAGTTCTTTCACTGGTAATATTTTAAGACACATGAAGGATTCTTTCTTACTGGTACAGTTCTATCACAGGTAATATTTCAAGACACATGGAGGATTCTTTCTCACTGGTACAGTTCTATCACAGATAATATTTTAAGACACATGAAGGATTCTTTCTCACTGGTACAGTTCTATCACAGGTAATATTTTAAGACACATGAAGGATTCTTTCTCACAGGTACAGTTCTATCACAGGTAATATTTTAAGACACATAAAAGGATTCTTTCTCACTGGTACAGTTCTATCACTGGTAATATTTTAAGACACATGAAGGATTCTTTCTCACAGGTACAGTTCTATCACAGGGAATATTTTAAGACACATAAAAGGATTCTTTCTCACTTGTACAGTTCTATCACTGGTAATATTCTAAGACACATGAAGGATTCTTTCTCACTGGTACAGTTCTATCACTGGCAATATTTTAAGACACATAAAATGATTCTTTCTCACTGGTACAGTTCTATCACAGGTAATAATTTAAGACACATGAAGGATTCTATGTTACTGGTACAGTTCTATCACTGGTAATATTTTAAGAAATATGAAGGATTCTTTTTCACTGGTACAGTTCTATCACAGGTAATATTTTAAGAAATATGAAGGATTCTTTCTCACTGTTACAGTTCTATCACAGGTAATATTTTAAGACACGTGAAGGATTCTTTCTCACAGGTACAGTTCTATCACAGGTAATATTTTAAGAAATATGAAGGATTCTTTCTCACTGGTACAGTTCTATCACAGATAATATTTTAAGAAATATGAAGGATTCTTTCTCACTGGTACAGTTCTATCACAGATAATATTTTAAGACACGTGAAGGATTCTTTCTCACTGTTACAGTTCTATCACAGGTAATATTTTAAGACACATGAAGGATTCTTTCTCACTGTTACAGTTCTATCACAGGTAATATTTTAAGACACATGAAGGATTCTTTCTCACTGTTACAGTTCTATCACAGGTAATATTTTAAGACACATGAAGGAGTCTATGTTACTGGTACAGTTCTATCACAGGTAATATTTTAAGACACATGAAGGATTCTTTCTCACTGGTACAGTTCTATCACAGGTAATTATTTAAGACACAGGAAGAATTCTATATTACTGGAACAGTTCTATCACAGGTAATATTTTAAGATACATGAATGATTATTTCTCACTGGTACAGTTCTATCACAGGTAATATTTTAAGCCACCGAAGGATTCTTTCTCACTTTTAGGATTCTATCACTGGTAACTTTTAAGACAATCATGGGTTATGTTCTTTGTCACTGGTAGGAATTTATTTTATTGGTAGTATTCTACAGTCTGTAATATATATTACAAATAGGATATTAAGTCATTCAAATGACTTGGAATCTATGACTTTGATAATACTTTATGTCACTGGCAAGATCAGTAAGTTATTTCTAGTGTCCCATGTACTGTAAAAGTGAAGGAAAAACAGTAAAGAATAAGAACAGGTGTTAGTTAAATCGCTCAGAGAAAAAAGTTATTTATTGTGCATGAATATCAGCTGGAAATTATCATGGAACAAGATGAAATGAAATATCAAAAAAAAGGTCCATGCATTTCATAAAAGTGAAAGAAACTGCAGATTAACCAATAAACTGGGTAATCTGAACAAAGATAATATGGGTGTAGTAAAGTTATTATGGGAAACAAAATCAAGATAAGGTATATCAAGATGAAGCATATGATACAACTGCAGCTGATGATAAGCTGCCTGGAGGGATTAAATGGAACTGTTAAAATATATTTATATGCAGCAGTAAATTATCAAAGAAAATGTATTTAGGGTTTAAAAACAAACCATTTTTCAAAATATACTTAAAATTAGATAAGTGAATAATGTAAAATTTGTGTTGGTTTCAGTGTGGGACTTGGCCAGCTACATCTACATCCCTTCTGGTCTTTTCTTATCAAAGGTATGAAAAATGTTAGCTTCCAAGAGAAGAAAGAAATGTTTTTTCCTCTTGTATAAGGTTTGTGATGCCTTAGATTTGCATTAATTTATGCTGAAGCAGCTGGCACAGTTCTATCACTGGTTATACTTATAATTAGATAAGTGAATAACGTAAAATTTGTGTTGGTTTCAACACTTGCTTGTTGATTTTCTTTTAATATAAACCTTAATTAGTCAATTAATACTACTTTAGTTTACTCAGATCATACTATTATGCCACTCACAATATGTATGTGATATTAATCTTTGAAAAACTACTTACTGTTTCTGGAAGCTATTTTTTTCATTTCCAAGAGGCAACCTAAAGTATATAAAAGATCTATATATAATTTTTTGAATTTGATTTTTTTTATAAAGTTTTGAACATAATTATATAGAAAAAGTTTTGAACGCATACAGAAGTGAGACAGATATAAACTCAGCAAACTCTTAACTACATAATGATGATCAGGGTTCAGAAACTACATCAGTCATGCACTGACATATAGTCATTTTGTATTCTTTATTGAATTAAATATAACTACATATTTACAATAATATGCGTTTCATATGTAAACTGGTTTAAAATAACGAAATTCAACTTTACTTTTCGGTGTATTTGCTAAGAAACCATTGCAAAAACAATGAAAATCTGTTGAAAATATTGCAAAAATATACAATTTGGTTTTTTCTGTGCCTATTCTAAATCTATTAGCTATGTTTATGCCAGACATAAATAGATAATCAGTGAGTTTAGTGCCAGTTAAAACTAGAAAACAGCATTTTAAACTGATGGTACTGATGAAAAGCAATTCAAACATAACATGATGCACCTTGCACACTGTGATAACAAACATTTAGTGATGTAAACAGATTCTATCACTCTTATTTGAAGATATTCAATATGGATTATGCTTCAACCAAAATTGAAGACAAAAACAACATGCTCAAGTTGACCTTGTCAGAGATAACCACCTGTCCTGGTCAATTAAAATAAAATTTCTGTGATAAATTAACCTTACAATTATTCCAACATTAATTTATAAAAATTCATAAAGTTTGATGTTGTTGTTTTTGTTTTTTAATGACATACAAACATGTCCTATCCTATCCTGATGTTAAGTGTTTCCCTTTGTCAAGTTGTCATCTGGTTAGAATCCCTTATCTCCCTGAGAGCCAATTTGATTATAAATCCCTAAATAACATTCTTAAATCCCAAACCCATAGCAATCAAGTTTATCCAAGGTGAAGGTGGCAGGCATACAGTATTTGCTTTTGGCATTAGATTGTTCTTGACAGGACAGAATGAATCTTGAGGAACATGCACAATATAAAATGTCTCTAGAGTATTTAATTTGAAGTTTACGTCCCACTCTGGGGTTTGACAATTAGCAATTAGATTCTAACTGTTCTATGGTGAGGATCTAAACCCTTTAAAAAAAATTAAGTCAAGAGATTTCAATTACTTGTCACTGAGGCCCATTTAAACAAGCATAACATAATGGACTCAACCAAAACTAGAAATGTGTCCATAGGACACGGGTGCCCCCACCGCGACACTGTTCTGTCAATCTTTTTACTAAGTCCAGGGAAATAACTCTACAAATACTGGATAAATCCACAAGCCAAACCCCAGGTGCAAATCTAAAATATGCTGAGCAACCTGCCCATAAGGTTTATTGACTATGTCAAATCCTTTTTGAGAAACTTGCGATACAAGTTGAAAATTGCAAAAATTTTCTACGTGAAGGGCAATAACTCTAAAAATACTACATAAATCCAGACGAAAATACCTGGTGCACAACTGCACATGCTGATCAATATTCCTGTAAAGTTTCATGACTCTAGGTCAAATACTTTTTGAGTTATGTGCGACACATGTTGAAAATTGCCAAATTTTACTAAGTCAAGGGCAATAACTCTGAAAATACTAAAAATATCCAGACGAAAATACCCAGGTGCACAACTACACATGCTGATCAACATTCCTGTAAAGTTTCATGACTCTAGGTCAAATACTTTTTGAGTTATGTGCGACACAAGTTAAAAATTGCAAAATTTTACTAAGTCAAGGGCAATAACTCTAAAAATACTAAAAATATGCACACGAAAATACCCAGGTGCACAACTACACATGCTGATCAACATTCCTGTAAAGTTTCATGACTCTAGGTCAAATACTTTTTGAGTTACATGCGACACAAGTTGAAAATTGCAAAATTTTACTAAGTCAAGGGCAATAACTCTGAAAATACTAAAAATATCCAGACGAAAATACCCAGGTGCACAACTACACATGCTGATCAACATTCCTGTAAAGTTTCATGACTCTAGGTCAAATACTTTTTGAGTTACATGCGACACAAGTTGAAAATTGCAAAATTTTACTAAGTCAAGGGCAATAACTCTGAAAATACTAAAAATATCCAGACGAAAATACCCAGGTGCACAACTACACATGCTGATCAACATTCCTGTAAAGTTTCATGACTGTAGGTCAAATACTTTTTGAGTTACATGCGACACAAGTTGAAAATTGCAAAATTTTACTAAGTCAAGGGCAATAACTCTGAAAATACTAAAAATATCCAGACGAAAATACCCAGGTGCACAACTACACATGCTGATCAACATTCCTGTAAAGTTTCATGACTCTAGGTCAAATACTTTTTGAGTTACGTGCGACACAAAAGTGAACGGACGGACGGACAGACGGACGGACGGACGGACAAGGGTAAATCTAAATGCCCGCCACTAACGTGGGGGCACAAAAAGCATCTACTTCTTTATTTGATTATGTATTTACATGACCATGATTAGCAAACCAAATTTAAGAGCAAACCTATTGTAAAAAAATACTTTGACCACAGCAGATTTCATAAAGAAAAGGCTTTCATGTAAATGTATCAATTTTAATGAAGAATAAAACAGCTATATAATCATATTGTTCTCTAACATCTTGCTCCAAGTCATATTCATGTATCTTATTCTCTAATCCAAGAGAACAATAATCCTCCAGAAAGACAAACACATCCATTTAATTCTATTCATGACAAAGGTCAAATGGGGTCATAAAAGTCAAATCTGTAATTTAATTCTACACACAAAAAGAATTCTCTTCTCCTCCCCTATTCCACAACTGGTTTTAAGAACAAGTTAAAGAATGACAAATTAATTGTTCACATGCAAACATACCAAGATTCTAAAGCAGTTATAAACATGATATGTAAAGAAATAATGTAATAATGCTATTTTTGAAACATGAATATTCTGCCCTTTTTAACTTACAGAAAAGCTAATTATATCATTATACCAAGAGATACATTAACTGTCAATGTGATATTCTTATACAATATAGAAATACATTATATACTGCCAAATGTATTTATCTCTTATTACAAATTTGGATTTTTATACTTCAAGCAATATATCTTATTTAATTAGATTGTTATAAAAAAACTGTGTACTGCTATTGAAGAGATTTCAGTTACTTGATAACAATGTTAGGAGATGTTAGAACTTGTAAAATCTTATAGGTCCACCATTATATAGGCTTTGTAATATATATTTCTTTATGGTTTACTTTAAGATTCTAGATGATTAAAAAATAAAAATATATACAAGAAAAAGAAAAAAAAAGAAAGAAAAAGAAACAACTCATAACACAACATTCACTGTCATTCACTAAACAACACTCATTTTGTAACACTCATATCACATACTGTATAACACTCACCGTTTTACACTCATAATGAAAACTTAATGCATGAAAAACAAAACATTTTTAATATTTCATATGTCCTCTGCACAAAACAAGTTAAGAACTTTTTAAACATCATAATCCACCAAGGTAATAATAGGTCTATCCCCTATGTAGCAATTTGATTCCCTATGTGTTTCTAACTGCCATACATTGTTCTTTCTATGTAAAGTATTATTCTAGAATTATGAACATCTGTCATACATTGTTCTTTTCATGTAAAGTTTTGTGTTAGAATTATGAACATCTGTCATACATTGTTCTTTTCATGTAAAGTTTTGTGTTAGAATTATGAACATCTGTCATACATTGTTCTTTTCATGTTAAGTTTTGTGTTAGAATTATGAACAACTGCCATACATTGTTCTTTTCATGTAAAGTATTATTCTAGAATTATGAACAACTGTCATACATTGTTCTTTTCATGTAAAGTATTATTCTAGAATTATGAACAACTGTCATACATTGTTCTTTTCATGTAAAGTATTATTCTAGAATTATGAACAACTGTCATACATTGTTCTTTTCATGTAAAGTATTATTCTAGAATTATGAACAACTGTCATACATTGTTCTTTTCATGTAAAGTATTATTCTAGAATTATGAGCAACTGTCATACATTGTTCTTTCTATGTAAAGTATTTGTATTATTCTAGAATTATGAGCAACTGTCATACATTGTTCTTTCTATGTAAAGTATTTGTATTATTCTAGAATTATGAGCAACTGTCATACATTGTTCTTTTCATGTTAAGTATTATTCTAGAATTATGAGCAACTGTCATACATTGTTCTTTTCATGTAAAGTATTATTCTAGAATTATGAAAAACTGTCATACATTGTAATTTTCATGTAAAGTATTATTCTAGAATTATGATAAACTGTCATACATTGTTCTTTTCATGTAAAGTATTATTCTTGAATTATGAGCAACTGTCATACATTGTTCTTTTCATGTAAATTATTATTCTAGAATTATGAAAAACTGTCATACATTGTTCTTTTCATGTAAAGTATTATTCTAGAATTATGAAAAACAGTCATACATTGTAATTTTCATGTAAAGTTTTGTGTTAGAATTATGAACAACTGTCATACAATGTTCTTTCCATGTAAAGTATTATTCTAGAATTATGAAAAACAGTCATACATTGTAATTTTCATGTAAAGTTTTGTGTTAGAATTATGAACAACTGTCATACAATGTTCTTTCCATGTAAAGTATTATTCTAGAATTATGAACAACTGTCATACATTGTACTTTCATGAAAAATATTATTCTAGAATAGTCAATAACTCTCATGCATTGTACTTTTCATGAAAGTATGATTCTAGAAAAGTAAATAACTCAAATGTTATATTTTGTACTTTTCATGTAAAGAATTGTTCTAACATAATGGCTGTCATACATGGTGCTTTTGTATGGAGAATCACTCTTTAAGGCAACAAAACAACTGCCTACCAGTTAAAATAGGACCTGAATTCAATACTATAAAACACCTTGGCCAATTTCTTTTTTTTTCAAAACATGTTTTGCACCTATGAGATAAGATACCTCTGTATATAGGATGTAGAGAAAGAATTATAGGGTATCAAATGGTAACATATAGGAAGTGGAGACAGTAATGATAAGATAAAGATGTAACATGATTCAATTAGTAACAAAACACTTGTCAATCAAAGTATCACAAAAAGATGTTTACAAACAATCATTCTTTATTAAAATATTCAAAATGAAAAAAAGGACCAACTTAACCTACTTAATTATTGGATCAACTTGACCTGTTGAATGATTTGTGATGAAAAACAAGACAACACTCTAACTGATTCAGTAAACAAAGATTTAAGTCAGATCATCTTTCTATTATTAGATTATAAATACTTTGGCATTGTACAGGTATCTTAAATTATATCCAGGTTGAATTTGCAGCATATTATAACCACATTTGACATCAAATTCACAACTGAGGCTGCTCTATAAAAATCAAAAAGAGGTTAACTTTCACCACTTCAACTCTAAAATTTATCAATAAGTGTTTTATTTATGATAAGAAACAAACTCTACTCTTGTTTTTTATTTTACTGTGCCTAGAGGATGTGATGGACCTTTATTAAACATGAATTAACAAAGAAATAAACAAAACAAACCAAAAAAACTAAATCATTTCAAAAACACACACTTGTAAACAATTCATGACTTTTCAAATGACCTGCAATCACCATCAATACTTGATGACTTTTCAAATGACCTGCAATCATTATCAATAATTCATGACTTTTCAAATGATCTGCAATCATCATCAATAATAAATGACTTCAAAAGACCTGCAATCATCATTAATTCTTCATGGCTTTTCAAATGACCTGCAATCATCATCATCATCATCGTCATCAATACTTCATTACTTTTCAAATGACCTGCAATCATCATTTATACTTCATGCATTTCAAATGACCTACAATTATAATCAATAATTCACAACTTTTTAAATGACCTGCTATTAGGCCATAGAACAATAAATAATTGGGGCGGGTGGGTGGAATTTATAATTTATAATTTATTTTGTCCCAAATTCACATTCACTACACAGCTTCTGTGGTCAAGATTAAGGCTTTTCAACTGGCAAAATTTTTCAAATATATTGATGAACGTCGCATCATTTCCACCCAGATTTTGATCAAAACTAAACCCAAACCAATCACAAACAGTTTTCTTGTTTACTGCATCATATATTTCACATATGACGAACATTTTGACAATTTTACTGATCGAAAACGAACGTATTTAAAATCTTGATCACTAGACGCTGTAAACCTCAGTCTGATTTTTATGCGTTCGTCCCGCAAATATTCGACCACGATTTTCAGACGAATTTTCGTCTACAGACGTCTGCGAAATGAACAATTTTTTTTTTTGAAAATAAATTATTTTGGAGCGGAAAGATTTTGATACGGGCGGGCGAGGATGAGAGTCTAAAAATTAATTTTCTGTGGCCTTATTATCAATACTTCATGACTTTTCAAATAACCTGCAATCATCATTAATAATTTATGACTTTTCAAATGATCTGCAATCATCATCAATTCTTCATAGCTTTTCAAATGACATGCAATCATCATCAATGCTTCATAGCTTTTCAAATAACCTGCAATCATGATCAATAATTCATGACTTTTCAATGATCTGCAATCACCATCTTCAAATGACCTGCAGTCATCAATACTTCAGGACTTTTCAAATGACCTGTATTCATCATCAATATTTCATTACTTTAAAAATGACCTGCAGTTATCAAAACATACATTTGTAAATCCTATTTTAATTGTATATTTAACAAAAAATCATTTAAAATGGAGAACAATAACTCATTATAAACAAACTCTTTATGTTCATGACAATCTTAGAATCTATGACATTTTGCACTTTTGATAAAGCACCAGCCACCATGTAAATTAAAATAAAACCAACATTAATTTTCAAAATATATAAATGATCAGCTTGTGATATAATTTTTTTGAAAAGTTTTACAGCTCCAGCACAAACATCAAAAGCTGCATGTTGTGATAAGCTGATTCAAATACAATCACTTTAAACACACAGATAATCATTAATGTGCAGGTATAAAATGATTTGCCAAGAAAATGCATGTGGATATACATTACAATGTTCAAAAATTTATGTTCTTTTTAGTATCACAATCTAACAATGTGCATTGCTCAGTTTTTATTCAAAGGCCTTATCAGAAGAACAACATTTAAACATTTACTTCAGCAAAGGGCAACAGGAGACTGATTTGTAACAAAAATCAACAAATGTAACATTATTGACAAAACTATAGGGCAACAACTGTCACACATTTTCTCGTATATGCAGAAACAAAAGGCAAAATGAATAATAACTGATTATTTACCTGTATTTTCAGCAACAAAGGGGAATAACTGACTTTTTTTTTTAAACATAAAAGGGCATTAACTTACTATATGTAATTAAGGCAAAACTACAGACACAAATTTGCAGTAAGGAGCAAATATTGACTGATTATCATTTAAATAAAACAACAACAAAGTGTAACAACTTATTTAAGGAAAGAGACACAAATGACAATTATTCACAATAATAAATGGGCACAACTCATACACATTTTCTGTAAGGAATAACAAATGACAACAACTCATATACATTTTCAGTAAAGAAAGTAAAAGGGGACATATAACAAGGAGCAACAATTGCTGATTGCCACAAACATACACTTGTAAATAGCAAACATTAATGTTACTTCCTGAGTTACCAGTCCCACCCTCTGTTGTTTTATACTACATGCATGCACACTTGCACCAAACCTGAAGATATAATCTCTAATTCAGTGCCAGCAAAATTAAGACTGACACTTTAAGATGTTTTTATCAACTGAAACATCAACAAAAGCAGCCAAAGTTAACATTTTGCATCTTCTAAATAATTGTGTTTTGAAGCATTTAGTGAAGAAAATAAGATAATATTTTTCAAGAAAATGCAGCTGTCTGTGTTAGAAATAGCATAAAAAAGTATTTAAATTTCCAGATTCAAGTTAGAATAAATTTATTTTTAACTTATAGAAAAGGAAAGTCAAGGTGCAATTGAGCAAAAAAAAAAGGGCTTGGAATATTGAAATGAAAATAAATTCCTGTACAACATTTTTGTTATCTTGTATAGTGTAACTTCAAGTGAAGTAATATTGAGTTTTCTACTTCATCTGCCAGTGCCATCTTATAATTGTTGTTTATACAATGTACAATTGATAGACAAAACAAAGCAACTATTGATAAAAAAATAAAGTTCTCAAATTAAACAGAATATATCTCAAAGGTAGGTCCCATATTACCTGTGCTAATTGCCAATTAGCTTGAATCTGTACAAAATCTGAACAAAACATTGTAATGTTTCATCCCTTACAGAATGAGTTATAAAATTGATATTAAAATGTCATAAAACATTGAAAATGTTCTTAAACTGCACTTTTGCGAGACTTCTAGGTTTTAAGATTTGATCGCTTTCCAATTTTCTTCAGTAAACACCAGCACACATTAATAAGAACTTTGTTACATGGTTAATATATGTGACCTACTTTAAACTTACTGTTAATTAAAAACTGCAGTTTTAATTATTAGATTATTTAATTATATATAACACTAGACACTGCATAGGAAGAAAGACCACAGGATATTATATTGTAAAAATTCTGCAATCAATTAAACAAGAAGTTTTGCCAAATAACTGAAATTCTTTAACTATTTTAAATAACTTACAATTAAAAGGTTGAATAACCGATTCAAAAAACTTAGTAAAAATTTAAACGAAGAAATTATTACAAGAAAGCTCCATAGAATCTGATTTATTTTAAATTTATTTATTTTTAACTTTTAAACTTTAACAATCCAAGAACAGCTAAATTATAAGACCAAAGGATGGTAACTGTGTAAGGTTACAGCATTGGCAATACAGGAGCACAAGCAAATACAGTCTGACAGACCTTTACACATCAAGTCGTATTTTAACTCCAATTTTGAGAGGAAAAAAGGTTCTAAACAAAATAATCTTGGTCTAAACTGTTGTCCACAGCTTGGACACAAAATGAAACCATAGTGATATCATTAAGTGTAGGTTTAATACTAAATTTTTTGAACACAATTTTTTCACTGAAACAACACTATGCTCACAAGAGGTTTACATATGATTTTGTTCAACTCATTCAATAAATTTCAGTATTAAATCTACACTCATTCAATATACTCCTGTATTGAATCTACAGGAATATAATATTCTATTTATCACATATATAATGCAAATGATATCTTGTCAAAGTGTTATTACACTAAAAGTGTAATACATGTATTGCTTTTATTAAATGGCTTTAATTACACTACTGCATCTTGGTTTATGTGATAAAGCAAAGAAATTTACAAATACTGAAAACAGATGAAGAAAACTACATGAAAGAAGATTTTTACATTATTTATCCAATTTTCCAAAGAAATAATTAATAAACCAAGATTGCACAATGTTCTGCAAATTTGAAAGATAATAAAACAGTGCCCAATGCAATCAAGTCTTGTGCAAATTTATTGATAAGAATGAATGTAAGAATTGCTTTCATATCATATTCATTTTTTTCAAAATCTACCTGCTTCCAAAATGTCCATCATCAAGTCATGCACATCCCTTTGTTTATTGTTCACAGCACTCATTTTCCTTGATGCCTGCAAAGATAATCTAAAATACAATGCCATTAAACATTAAAACTGACACTGATTATATCAATCTAAAAATCAACAAACATCTGCCAACATTTTGCATCTACAGCAGGATTTTAATATCATGGGAAGCTAACAGATCCGTAAACATATTCATCATTTTTTTATTTGTTTTTTTTTATTTATTTAAATTTACCAATGAAACAAACAGGACGAAGCTATTGTTGTTTTCTAACATTTTACTTTCTTATACTAAGTGCTTACATTTCATTTACACTAAAATTAAAGTACAAGCAACTTTAAGTATAGAATAAACCATTAAGAAGCACAGCATGAAAATAAAGGGATTTTATGAGGAGTAAAACTGCATTCAAATAATTCTCAAACATTATTTTGTTATCAGGCTCTCTTACAATACAACATTTTCCAATTAACAAAGTCATCTACACTGGAGACAAAACCTTCAAGCGAAACACAAATGTCCTAAGAACACAATTGTTCAATAATTAAAAACAGACTGTTCCTTCCTTTCTTGTTTGGTTTCCAAGACTTTTCTGCTCTGCATATATACACACAGTAAAAAACCTCAACCAAACAACATCAGCAAAAAATCATGCACTAACATAATCTATCAAGAAAAACATTTAAAGTAAACAATAAAACTGTTAACCAGCCAAGTTGAAAACATTATGATGGTTTATACAGACATTTATAATAAAATACAAGCAAAACTCATCAGATAAAAAAATTTATAGACCTTATGGCATGTTCATCTCTGAAACAAACTAACTCCTAAATCAAAACACAATGTTACTAAACTGGTATGATCTTATTTTACCTATATTTTACATATGTAAATCAAATGATTCCTTAACATCCCTATGAAAGATAAGAAATTTTGACAAGATATAATAAATGTAAATGATGTTTTTTTTTGTTGTTTTTTTTTGGGGGTTTTACGGTGCACCAACACAATTTAGGTCATATTGTACCACACAGGAAAGATGATATTAGCTAACGACTGATATTAAACAAAATCAAATATAAATATTATTTGAAAAGGCATTTTAGAAAAAATTAAGCTTCATATAAAATGAGAAATAAGTTGAAAATAATAAAAAATATTTTCAGCAAAGACATACGTACATGTCCAGGCTGTAATGAAAGTTACAAATAAGTATTAACTAGCAAACCAAATCTAGATGTGTTCATTTGGACAAACCCAGGTAACTCCCTTCTATCTAGAGGCAAAATGTTGAGTCTGTCAGCAAATTTTATAAAAAAGAAAATTTTGTTTCCATAATTTCTGATATTATTTTTATTTTGACAGTTATTGTTTAAAAGAAAGTATAAACCTATTTTAAGAATGTCACTGTCAGTAGTATTTTCATACAGTATGTCAAATAAATCAGGTGTGTAATAATGTTTAAAATACAAATATGTCGCCACGACAATAAGTCATGTAGCCTTTAACTTCGTTTCGTATATATGAATTATTTCTATTGTTAAAATTTTTACCATAACAAAAAAAACCAAGTGCAGAGGTAAGATATGGCAATATATGCAAAATACAAAATTTTGACCATGATGGTCAAGGTCACTTTATGCTCAAGGTCAAACTTGAATAATACAACATGTCAGTATTACAATAAGACAGTGTTGTTTTGTCCAAGTAAGAATCAAATCTGTATACAATGTATTTTAATAGCAAAGCTTTCACAATTCAATGCAATATCAATGATTTGACCTTTACAGTCAAGGCCATATTAAAGTCAAGGTCAAACAGAACATGTGTACTTTTTTCTTAACCTGTCTCACATTAAGCGTAGCAGTTATTTTAAACAATATTTTTCTCTTTTCTTCAGACAAAACAACTTGTTTGTTTGTTTCATTTTACCCCTTTTCCCAACAGTATTTCAGTCATATAGGTGGGTAGTTTCCTAACCATCGTTCCTGGAGAGTTACACCAGTACTAGACTACCTTTCTCCGTGCTAAACTACCAAAGCATCTCCTGGGGATCGAACCCATGCCAGAGAGATACCTGGATTAGAAGTCATCGACTCTAACCCCTCGACCACGGAACAACTTAAAACCTTAAAATCTACCTCAAATGATTATTCAAGAAAAGTTATGATTCTCAGTAGATAAGGTATTAGTAACTTTGTACTGAAAGATTGTAGTTTATTGTATGCAACAGGTTTTTAATTATTAAGAATGTTTCAGAACGCAACTAAATGGTTGTTTAGTCCATGGGATATGATATAAAAAATCTGCTTTTAATTTGCCAACAGTTTGACATGGCAACCTTCAACTGTGATAATCACACACATAAACTTGATGGTTGTTACATTTGAGAAATTGTTAAGCAATTTGCTACATTTCCATGTAATAGTCACATCATGTGAGTCAACAAGTTTTCAGTTGTAAAGTCACCCAGCCAACTAATCAGATAATTTGTGTCTTCCTGCCCTCTAATGATGGCACTGATAGGCTTATGGGCATGCAGAAGTTTTGAGCCTACAACCATACAGTTACTGTTTGTTTGTTTGTTTCATTTTACGCCTTTTCCCAACAGAATTTTAGTCATATAGGCGGGTAGTTTCCTAACCATTGTTCCTGGAGAGTTATACCAGTACTAGACTACCTTCCTCCGAGCTAAACTACCAAAGCATCTCTAGGGGATCGAACCAACGCCAGAGAGGTAACTGGTTTAGAAGTCATCAACTCCCATCCACGGAGGTGGTTTTCCATACAGTAACAACAGGCATATTGAAATATTCAATCCTGTTTTGGCAAAAAACTTTTTTCCCTTATTATTATAATATTATTGTTATGTCCATGATTAAAAATATATGATAGTAAAGATTCCAGTTTGCATAAGTACATGTATATGGATTACAAAAAAATACAAAGTGACAGCTGTCATGTAAATTAAACAAAAAAACTTTAACTCACTTTTTTCAATTACATTTGTATTCAGCATTGGAGTTTTTTGTTGTTTTTTTTCTTTTCTTTTTTAAACAATTTTTTTGTTACTGTAAGTTTACATCAACAAAAGTCAACTTTCCGTCTTTACTAGTTGCATAAAGAAGACTTCAGTTACTCCACACATTTGGGAAGCCCTGGAGTGGATTTATATTATATATCATTCCTTATCAAATTTTCTCTCTAATATTTTTTTCTTATTTTCTTTAAATTAGTCAATGTATCTAACTAATATTTTCACATCAAAACAATTTATTGAACAAATAACATTATAAAATCATAAAATATAGACGAATAGTCTATCAAATTGAGAGCTTTTCCTATAAAACTATATTAAATGAAACCTAATTATAAAGTTACGCAAAAAAAAATCAATCTGTATATTAGATAACTGTAATATATATACAGTTATTTCCTATGGGAAACATTTCTCATCTTTTATCATAAATGTCAGAATAAGGGCTAAAGAAATATCAGACTGCCTAAAAAATATTTTCTTTAATATGTAACACTTTTAAAATAAATAAAATCTTTAAATTAAAATATTAAAAAAAATTTTTAAACAACCCTAAAAAATAAAATTTTTGCAATTTTTAAATAACAAAATGAACAATTTTTAAAATTAACCCGAAAAAAGGTTTTAAAATTTTTCCTTTTATGGGGGGCCCTCCTTTGTCGAGAACAGTACCCTAATTTAGAACACCCCTTCCGAAAAACCCACCTTTGATAATTTAAATTTTTGGGGTGAAAGAATCCAAAATAAAACAACGGGAAATTTTGAACCCCAACCAAAAATTAATAAAAAATTTTAATTAACCCCCAATAAAAAAAACCAAACCATAAAATGGGGTTTTTGGGAAAAAACCAAAACCATGGAACCAAACCTGCGAAAAACCCGTTTCCACTGAAAAAACCTTTCTGTTCCTTTTTAAGTTTTTTTTATTTGAAAAAGGGGGTTTTGAAAGGGAACAAAAAAAACCTAACCAAAAAACTGAACAATCCCAACTGGTCCCTAAACCCATCAAAATTTTCGCAACCCAAAAATTTTTGTTTTGTTTTTAAGGGGTTCAAAAAAAATTTTTTTTTTGAATTTTTTTAAAAAAAATTGGATTAAAATTAAACACTAAATTTTGGGTTTATTTTTGGGAAAAAACGATAAAAAGGGAAACCAAATTTGGGGAATAAAAAATTTAGAAAAACCGGGCTTATAAAAAAATTACCCAATTATCCTAAAAACGTTCTTTTTTTAACAATTTAGAAATTTAAAGATTAAATTTTGGGTTTTAAAAGGGGGAAAAAATATTTTTTTTGTAGTTTTACCAAAAAGAAAAGGAAAAAACAAAAGGAAATTTTTTAAAAAAGTTGTTAAATTTTTTTTCACCAAAAAAAAACTAGAGTGTCTTAAAAAATAAGGCTACTTATTCAATAATCTCTGGTATTATCTAACCTAGGTTTTACAGTTATAATGTAAATGAAACACATATATGGAAGCTGTTCTGGGGCGTGTTTCTAACAGAAGGCTGTATTCAATCAAACTGTGCAACACTAAAACTTTGCACTAAAACTGTTACTTGGCCAAGCGCAAAAATATATCATGATGGCCAACACAGACTTTCTACAATAAAACAGACTTACATCTAATCAGACAGTTTGGCACATTTGAATCTTCCTCAACAGTGTAAAGTTTTGTTCAAAGTGCAGAATACCTAACATTTTGCATCCAAAACTACCCAATAATCATACATCAAGTAACTTTCCATATTGAATTATTCAAATATTTCAAATTACAGGGACAAAATGCATACTCAATAATTGTCTGATAAATGTATCTACAAATTTGAAATTCTGAAAATGTATCAATTTCCTAATGAATATTCAAAATTCAAAAAATCTATGAGAATTTCCATTTTTTTATAGTGTCATCAATTATCATTTATGTAAAAGTTTATAAAGAAAATAAATCTGAAAAATCTTCAGGCAGTACACAATAAGAATATAGAAGTGTATGAACTAATTTTTG